GTTAATCATCTGTGTAATGGCAGAGAAAAGGCTGAAAACTGCAGCGTGAAGTAGCCCAGGAAGAACCTGGAAACATACCAGACATGGAGCTCTAGTAATCAACTTAATACGTATTTAATTCTCCACCTGTTATAAGTGAAGCACTACACCAGACACATCAAGGAGGGTACAAAGCTATTTCTCAATCAAAATACAAAGAAGGAAAATACCTGTTTTAGAATAGGAGCTATAAAAATATATAAACTGGTTCATTAAATGGCAATCTAGGCATCTTGCTGTTTCAAAGATAAGTTCATGAATAAGCAAATGGGATGACAACCAAATATCTAAGGCACCTGTAAACAACTAGACTATCTTTCATTCATTCAGTACTCTCTGAGCACAGGGGCTTACTACATTTTCTGAAGCCAAAATGAAGGCATACGGTCAGAAAAGAAATTAATGATATAAATAAACTAAATCAGTACTGATCCCAAAAATATAAAAGCTAGGAGAAAAAGGTAGAAAATGAGGTTGAAAATTATTTCTTTGATTTGTTAAAAATCACATTAAAGGAGTGGTAAATGCCAGGCCTAATGGCCCATTTATATGTGCCTGCTATAGCAGTGAAGGGAATGAGAGAGAAAGCAAGTTAAAAGAGACTTAACCTCAGCCTTCTAGAAGCTTATATCTAAAACGCAGTGTAATAAAACATGGGATATACAGAAATAATTGGAACATAAACAGAAACTGGGTTTGTTTTTGTTAATAATTCAAAAAAATTAAGTTATCTCCTATCCCTAGTGGATCATTCGATGATTTTGGTTTCTGGAAATGTTCTGGAAACAACACCAAATTAAGAAACCTGTTTCACAGACAGGTTCTCCAATTACATACAATGAAGGACAGTAGGAAACCTAGCGTTTACTACAGAGGCTGGGTAATTTTGCCGCATGGACATTAATGTGTTAAAAGCACCCTACGATGATGGTCAAATAACTACCATCCCTGAGAGCATTCCTTCAAGATTCCTGTGATAACAGACACGCAAATTCGTGGACAGCAACCATCTCTCTCACAAAATAAGCCTACTCAAGAAATAGGCACAGAACAACACATTAACTCGCACCAACAGTAAGGAGTCAGCACGCCTGCATCCCTCTCAGAGGCTTGCACACCAGCTGAACACCGATGGAAGAATGCTGCCAGGGTGCTCACAAGTTCTTGTGTCCTAAGCCTGGATTTTACTCCCAAAATGATCATAAAACCCATATAGCTCTATGACAAAAGGCACAGAGCCATCAACATAGAGGTACCCCCATACCTACAGCATGATGATAGCTGCGGAAATAGAAAACACATACATACATACACTCACAGCCTAAAATGCAAATTTTCACTGGTATGTGCAAAACTGTAGTGTAGGAAAGAAATAATAAGTGAGTGATTGTTCACAATCCACGTTTTAGCTTGGCAATTTCAGTCTTAGCAATACAGTCAGCCTCTCATGTGCTATGTGTGTGTGTGTGTGTGTGTGTGTGTGTGTGTGTGTGTGTGTTTGAGACATTTAAAAA